GAGCAGCCCCTGCAGGGTTTTAAGTTAATGGGTCTGGCTGCAGTGTGGAGATTAAGTTCAAAGGAGCGCATAGGAGGTTCCAGATAGGAAGCTATAGCCAGACTCTCGAGTCTAACTTTGGAAAACACATGAGGGGGCTTGAGGATTTTGCAGACACCTGGGTCGAAGTGCAGGTAAGACACTGAGAACAGGGCAGGAGCCAAGGGGGACCCAGGCCCTTGGCCTGAGAACCCGGGGCCGTAAGGCTGCGGTCCTGGCACCCGGCCCAAACCCCCCCCGCCCCCACCCCGAGCGTCCTCATGTTTCCCTCACCGTCTGGGCAACGCTGGTGCTGCCTGTTGGTGGTGGAGAAGGGCCGTCACGGCGGCCAGGCCCAGAGACACTGCTTTATGGCCAGTGCTGCGTTCCCTCCTGCATCTGTGTGATGTTCCCCCTGGCGACTCCCAGGAGCAGCATCTTGTTTTTTTATGGCTGCAGGGAGGATGAAACCTGCTTTATTAACTGCTTTGCACTCTCACCACTTCCCTCTGGGCTCACGCTCTGTGCAGCTCTTTCTACTCACTGCAGCCCAAGTGAAAAATTCAAAATCTAAACCTGTGCTCATTGCCTCCAACCTTCCTTCAGACCTCCACCACTCCCCGTTATGAGGAGAAAGAGGCACAATTCCTTGCTGGGGCCCACAGAGTTTGCTGGAGCTACTTCCCAGCTCATCTCCAGGAGTTCATCCGTGTTAGGTCACTCATGCCCATGACAAGCTCTCCCACCGCTGAGCAGCTCTCCTTTGAGGCCTTCCTCTCAAACACACGTTCGCATTCCTTTATGTGTCATTAATATCCTCTATCTGGGAAGCTTGTAGGATCTCAATCGATACCTGTCGAATGGAGGCAGGAGCGTCTCTCACGTTGGCTCCCTTTTCTCTATGCTCTCCTTACCCCACTCCCTTCCCTGGTCTGAGTCCTTATCATCTCTGGCTGGGCTCTCCTCTCCTGGCCCCCAGCCGGCCCCCTCCACTCCCGTGGTGCTGACTTCCCAAGGCCCCACTTACAGCACAGCAGGCCACGTCCCAGCTTAGAAATCCTTGCTGGTCCCGGGGCCAGAATAGGCCCTGCTCCCTTTTCTTGGACCTCAAGGCCTCTAAGGCGCCTCTTCCCCTTGCTGCCTTGCTCCTAGGGGTCCCTCCGGGTTGGTCACTTACCCTGTGATCTTTGGGTGCTACTGTGGTCTTTGGGTGCTCCGCTCTTGCGATCAGGCACTCGGACCCCTCCATCGTGCTGACGTCACTTGCTGGCCTCTTCGAAGGGGCTTTAATAAACACCGCTCAGATTCACATCTGACCCACATGATTGAGTGTCATCTGTGTGCCAGGAACAATCACATCTATTCTTTACATTTTCACAACAGTTTTGAAAAGTAGGGATGATTTTCTACAGCTTTTTAAAATTTATTTATTTATTTATTTATTTATTTGTACATACAGAACTGGGGTACAGGCCAGAGATGCGGAGGGTGAGAGGATTCACCAGAGACAGAGTGGGGAGCAGAACAGGCAGATCGACGAAGTACACTGCTGAGGGGAGCAGCGGGTGGGTCAGGAGAGGTCTGCCGCGCCATGTGGTCACCTCCAGGGCAGGCGGGGATCGAACTCATGCGGAAGTGGCTTTAGTTTCTCAGTGCTGTGCTTTAACCCGCTGCGCCACCAGGGAGGGCCCGATTTTCTACAGCTTTTATATGAGGAAATCAAGTTTCAGAAGGAGACCTGCTCGGAGTCATCTGGAAAGCGGAGGGCTTGCCTGGAAGCCACACTCAGCCTCTCTCCAGGCTGCGCTGCCTCCCCACTGTGGGGGGTGAGGGGGGCTGGGAGGGTGAGGTGGATTTGGAAGCCGTGTACCGAGTCAGGGGCAGGACTGCCAAGCCACGGCCAGGTTGGAGGGAGGATCACAGGGCTAGCTCTGATAATGGCATCTATAAAGCACACAGCTCATGTTATATTTAATGGCGAGAGACTGAAGATTTCCCCCAAGATTTGGAAAAAGATACATTGAATGCCCGCCTTCACTACTTTAGTTTGGTCTTGTATGGGGGGCTTCTGCCAGGGCAATGAAAGAAGAAAAAGAAGAAAAGGCATCCGGCATCCAGCATGGAATGAAAGGTGGGGAACTACCTCCTTTTCCATGGCCTTATATTAAAGAAAATCCGAAGGAGCCCGCATACCCCATTAGAGCTAAAAAAAAAAAAAAAGTTTAGCGAACTGGAAGATACAAGACACACAAACCTGTTGTAGTTGTTTACATTAGCAATAAACAATCTGAAAGTGAAAGCAAGAAAGCAATTCCGTTTACAACATCTAAAAGAATAAAATACATAGGAATAAATTTAACAGAAATACAAGACTTACATGCTGAGAACTACAAAACAATGTTGAAAGAAATGAAAGCTTTAAATAAATGGGGAGCCAGTGTAGGACTTGATATTGTTAAGATGGCAGTGCTCCCCAAATTGATCTACAGGTTCAATGCAATCCTTATCAAAAATCCCAGCTGACTTTTTAATAAAGATTTATTTATTTATGCATACAGAACTGGGGTACAGACCAGAGGTGAGGGGCGGTGAGAGGATTCACCAGAGTCAGAGTGGGGAGCAGAACAGGCAGATCGACAAAGTGCATGGGTGAGGGGAGCAGTGGGCGACAGGAGGAGTCTGCTGCATCATGTGGGTCAGCTCCCTGGTGGGGATCGAACTCATGCTGAGGTGGCTGTGGACAGCTTCACAGTGCTATGCTTTAACCTGTTGTGCCACCAGGGAGGGCCCCCAGCTGACCTTTTTTGAGGAACAAATAAGTTGAACTTAAAATTCATGTGGAAGTATGAATAACCAAAACAATTTAATAATAGTAATTAAATTAATAAAATCATCATTAATAATCTTATTAAAAGAGCTAACAGTTCAATTTCAAAACTAACTAAAATGCTACAGTTGTCAAAAACAGTGTAGTACTGGCATTAGGCTAGACTTACAGATCAATGCTTCAGAGAATCAAGATTTCAATCTTTACATTTGTACACAGTCAATATTTTACTAAGACAAATCGGTAGAGAAAGGACAGTCAAATGGATCTCCACACATACACATAAAAAATGAATTCAAATTCCTCCTTTTTACAGTTCATAAGAATTATTCAAAGTGAGCATGCATTGTACAAAAATGAAAAATTAGATTAAAAAAGTATATAACAGGGCCCTCTCTGATGGTGCAGCAGGTTAAAGCACAGCACTAAGAAGCTAAAGGCACTTCAGCATGAGTTCGAAACCTGCCCTGGAGGTGACCACATGGCGCGGCAGACCTCTCCTGACCGGCCCGCTGTTCCCCTCAGAAGTGTACTTGTTGATCTGCCTGTTCTGCTCCCCACTCTGTCTCTGGTGAATCCTCTCACTGCCCCTGTACCTCTGGCCTGTACCCCAGTTCTGTATGCATAAATAAATAAATCTTTTAACAAAATTATATATATATATAAAATAGTAAATTTTTTAAAAAGAAATTAAAAAGCAATTATTCAAAGTGAACTATAGGACCCTCGCTGGTGGCATAAAGGGTTAAGGCACAGCACTATGAAGCTAGCCACAGCTGCTTCACCATGACTTCAATCCCTGGCCAGGGAGCTGACCCACATGACGACAGACCTCTCCTGACCCGCCCGCTGCTCCCCTCAGCAGTGTACTTCGTCAGTCTGCCTGTTCTGCTCCCCAATCTGTTTCTGGTGAAGCCTCTCACCGCCCCTCACCCCTGGCCTGTACCCCAGTTCTGTATGCATAAGTAAATAAATCTTTAAAAAAGAAAAACTGGCAGCCCTCCTTGCTATTGTTACAAACAAATACCTCCTGGTACCCACGTGTGCTTGGCACGGGGGTGGGGGCGTGGCTGATGCCAGCCCAGGTCTGCCTCATGGGACCGTTGGAAGAGAAATGTACCTCCACTTTGATAAGCAAAAATGCCTCTGTGGAGAAGAAAGGATATGGGGAACAGAGTGAGAGAACATTGCCTTAAGTGAAGACTTTGCTCAGCGATACTTTGCTAGCAAAACTTTGAAACCATCTAAATGTCTAATAATGGACTAGTTAAACAAATGTCACTGCCACTAATGGGGTATTATTTAGTTATTTAATAATAAATTATTTTTTTCACGTCAAAAGGTTTTATGATAAAATTTCATTAAAAAAAAGCAGACTATCCAAAGATACAGTGTATGGTCTCAGGAAAACTATTGTCATAAGGTGTCCCCCTGAGTTATCTCTGGGTGGTAGAATTATGGGGCATTACTCTCTCAATCTCTTGTCCCACCCCCAAATTTTCTACAATAACTTTGGGTTGCTTTTGTTAGTAGCGAATACCAGTTACTTGATTTAGGGGATCTGACATGCGGTGTGAGAGGGGGCTGGGCTGGGCGTGGCCCCAGCATGAACTGCAGGAAATTCTGAGGTTTGGGGAATAGGCAACGGGGCTGGGAATCTGGGGATCGAAACAAACCCAGACTGGGGAGAGGGGCTGATAAAGGGGGGGGGTGAGTTGGAGGCCGGGAGACGAGAGCTGGAGCAGTGTTAAGACACAGGCAGAGAATGTAGGCAGAGCAATGCTCTGGAAGTTAAGGAGCAGAGAGTTTCGAGAAGTGTCCTAGCTGGTAAACCAAGAGTTATGTGGTCAGTGGATTGAATAAAATACGTGGGAGAAACTTGAAATCTTGGAGTCAAGCCAGCACGTTCAAAACTGATTAGCTAAGTGACCTGGGCAAACCCCTGAACCTGCTTCTGCATGTGTTACAAAGGGAATAATAATGAACCATGGGCCTACTGCCTGGAATAAATGAGACAGTCATGGAGACACTTTGCACAGTGCCTGATGCTAGTGTGAGGATGGCTGTTCTTGCTCTCTTTCAGCGACGGTTGCTATGTCATGATACCATTTAATTATAAGTGGATTATCAATAATCTCGAGCTTTTTTCCTCCAGGCTATTTGGACAGAGCTTGCTGCACTTGGACTTCCGAGGTGTCCACCCCTCTTTCTCATCTGCAGCCAGCATGAGGAACATCTTCAAGAGGAACCAGGAGCCCATTGTGGCTCCTGCCAGCACCACTGCCACCACACCCGTGGGGCCTGTGGGGCCCGTGGGACCCGTGGTGCCCGGGGGGCCCGTGGGGCCTGGGGACAACTCCACGGAGAGCGGGGGTGCAGGGGAGAGCAAGGAGGACATGTTTGCCCAACTGAAGGATAAATTCTTCAACGAGATCAACAAGATCCCCTGTGAGTGTCCCTGCTGGCTGGGAGCGTGGGGCTTGGGCAGAGTCAGAGAAGGGTCTGGGGGCTGAGCAGGCGGGGGAAAACAGGAGGCAGCCCTCGGCTGTGCGCCCCCAGCTCGTCCCTAAAGCCTGGACTTGAGGCTGGGCTATGTGGGGACTCCCTTCTGGGATGGGAGGGTGAGTGTGGTCCAGCGCTAACGAAGGGAACAGGGGTGTTTATGTGGCTTGACTTCTACGTAATTGGGAAAATTGGAAAACTGTCAAATGATAAAGAAAGAATTACGAAGCAGAATTCAACATCATGTTTTCCTGTTTCACTCTGACACTACTTTATTTTGGAAGATAGACGATCAAAGCCCCCACTGCTTTCTGAATCCCTGGCGAAAGCTGTAGGAGGCCCAGAGGCCCAGTCTAAGGGGGCGCCTCAGTAGGTGATGATGCTTCAGGACCGCGGAGAGCACCCAGAGGGTACCAAACCCTGGCATTATGCCAAGTCCAGCCTTCTAAGGCCTTAAGGAGCTTGGCCTTCCTGGCTCAGGGTCAGCCCTGTCAAGACGGGGCAAGGAGTGTGGTCCCAGGTCTCTTCCTGTACACCTGACTCTGATAAGATCCGCCCCATCCTGTCCACGGGTTCTCCATAGATCAAACTGGTCAGTTTTGATAGAGTCAAACTGATGCTCGTCCTTACACATGGTGGCTGTCTCTCACTTAGCAGCTGTACCCACGAAGGCTATAGGCCAGGAAAAGTGCAAGCATTCGTGAACAAGCATTCTGCGTGCAAATGGACACGCCTGACACGCACATCTCTCAGGGTGTGCGGCTAAAAAGTTGCGGGGTGTGGACATGGAGGGGAGTGAGCGTCATGGGGTTAGGTGCTGCAGGGCCCAGCACTGCTGACTCCCGGGGTCTCCTCTGTGTGGACAGTGCCGCCCTGGGCGCTGATCGCCATCGCCGTGGTCGCCGGCCTCCTGATCCTCACCTGCTGCTTCTGCATCTGCAAGAAGTGCTGCTGTAAGAAGAAGAAGAACAAGAAGGAGAAGGGCAAAGGCATGAAGAACGCCATGAACATGAAGGACATGAAAGGGGGGCAGGTAGGACGGCACAGGGCGGGAGGGTCTGCGGGGCTGCACCCAGGCCTTCCCAGGCAAAGGCTTCTGCCCCACGGCCCCCCCTGCGGCCACATCCAGCCCAACAGCAGCTACCCGCCAGCTGGGGAGCTGGGACCCCCCTGCACTAGCAGGGCCTCACGCTGCAGAAGACAGGGGAAGAGAATGCATCGACTTCAGAGAGGCTGCTGGGCACAGTGCTGCACGCAGACTCCCACCCGCTAGAAAGGCATCATTTGGGCGCCCTTGGGTTCTTCTGCCTGGAGACTGCAGAACTATTTCTCATGCGTGTAGCTGGGTCGGGTGGGGAATCAAATGAGAAAGAATTTCCTGAAGCACCGGGCCAAGAGGAGTCCATCTCTGCTTACCTAACACTTTATCTACCCGTGTCCTTTGGGTTGCTCAGCTTGGAGAAGTCCCCCTTTGCCCCAACTTTCTCCTTTCAAGTTTGCAGAAGCACGGGTGTGCTTTGCTGTCCCCACTTTTGGTCTAGGAGTGATTGGGAAAATCAGGAGTTAATACGGAGGGTGGAAGGAAGGGCCTGGTCTTAAAAGTGAGCCAGAGCTGAAAGTGGTCTTTGAGAGTGTGCCTAATTGTGTGTGGGTGGTTGGGGATAGTGTCCACCCTGAGTGTAGCCCACCCTGGGTATAGCCCACCCTGAGTGTAGCCCACCCTGGGTGTAGCCCAGCCTGAGTGTAGCCCACCCTGGGTGTAGCCCACCCTGGGTACAAGAGCCCATCTTGGTCTCACCCAAGGGGTGGAATTCAGGCTGCTCTGGGTTGTAGAATTTTCTCTTACCTCATTTTCTTCCTTCTCTCCCCCCTCCTGTGGACTCACCTGCTCCTGAACACCTGGACTGCATCCTGGTATGTCTTGGCCAGGGTGGGTGTGGACGTCCTGGGGAGGGGCTACCAAGGGAAGACTGACCCTGGCCTCGGAAGCTGTGGAGCCGGGAGGCAGCGCCCACATAGTGCCGTGACCTGGGCGAGAGGGGCACTGTCTTGCTCACGCAGGGCTGGGGGTCTGAGGGGCCGTGCGGGGCTCTCACAGGCGGTACCCCGGCCCGTGCCACAGCCCCTGCCCCGGGCCCCACCTGGCCTCCTGTTGCCTGTGCCAAGCCAGGGGCTTCCCTCGTGGCCCCTTTTAACTTGTTCCTCCTTTCCCAGGCTCCCACAGGATGATGACGATGCAGAGACAGGCCTGACGGAGGGCGAAGGCGAAGGGGAGGAAGAGAAGGAGCCTGAGAACCTGGGCAAGCTGCAGTTTTCCCTGGACTATGACTTCCAGGCCAACCAGGTGCGTGGGGTGGCTGTGGCGCCCAGTGGGAGACGGGAGGAGGGCTGGGAGTTGGGGAGAAATAGCTGAGAGAGGAAGGATGGAAACAGACCCACCCCCACCGCGGACACCGTGGGCATTGCGCTCGCCCTGGGCCGAGCAGGCTGGGAAGCACAGGACGTGTGTCCTGTGCCACCGGCCTGCTCTAGCGAGGGTCCGGCCCCGGCTGGCTCTGCCATGGCCCTGTGCACCAACCTGGGCAGGCCAGCGGCCCCCTGTCTTCCGCTCCCCATGTCGTTCCACCCCCTGGAGGTGGAGACCAGCCTCCCCCTGTAGCACCGGCCTGCCCCCAACCCCCAGCGCCCGCCAGGTGGGTGCCAGGTCTGGGACCATTTTGGGGTTCGCACAGCCCCGACACTGCCTTGCTCTCTTCACAGCTCACCGTGGGCGTCCTGCAGGCCGCGGAGCTCCCTGCCCTGGACATGGGCGGCACCTCAGACCCTTACGTCAAAGTCTTCCTCCTTCCAGACAAGAAGAAGAAATATGAGACCAAAGTGCACCGGAAGACACTGAACCCTGCCTTCAACGAAACGTTCACCTTCAAGGTGATGAGGGCCGGAAGGGTGCTGCCTCGGGCCCTGCCCCGGCCCCAACTTCGTCCTGCTGACCGTCCCATGGCTGTCAGCTTGGATAAGGCCCCCACACCCAAGCTTCTCCTTTCAAGTCCACAGAGGGCCCCGTGTGCTTGGCCTTCCCCACATTGTTCTGGAAGTGACAGCGAGGAAACTTGCCTGGAGCCAGCTCAGTCTGGAAGCACAGCAGGCTGCACTGGGTCAGACCCTCCCAGCCTCCACCCTGCTCCGCCCTCTCTCTGTCCCCACAGACAGCCCCCCCAGCCCCGTCTGCAGACCACGCCAGGGCCCTGCCCACAGCACACCCTCTCTAACATGACCCTCTCTGCGCCTGCTGCTGCTTGTGCCTGCAGGTGCCGTACCAGGAGCTGGGGGGCAAGACCCTGGTGATGGCCATCTACGACTTTGACCGCTTCTCCAAGCACGACATCATCGGAGAGGTGAAGGTGCCCATGAACACCGTGGACCTCGGGCAGCCCATTGAGGAGTGGCGAGACCTGCAGGGTGGGGAGAAGGAAGAGGTGAGGGGAGACACTGGGCTGTGGGCTCCCTGGCCGTGGGAGGGGCGGTGGGCTGGGTCCCTGCGCCCCACTTCCTGGCTGCCTGACCTGGGCACACTTCCATCTCTGCCTGGGTTCTCGTTCATCTCCCACAGTGAGGATTAGCTGCATCTGCCAGTGTGTGGCGTCGGGGTGGGGGCTGGCATCTCTAGGCGCTCAAGTAGAGGACACTATTGTAGTTATCCTAAATCACAGCCTGTGATCTACCACTGCCTCAGTTTACCCACAAGGGAAGCACATCCTTTTTGGGGAGTGACTGGGAGAAAGCTCTTGCCCGGAGCCAGCCCAGTCTGGAACAGTGGATTCCAGAACCCTTTGTTCTAAAGGCTTCTCAGCGTGTGGGCTTGTCTTCCCAGCAGCTGCCACAGCATTTATTCACGGGCCAGATACCTGCCAGGCACCTGCCTTGCACCAATAAGCCCGTTTTCACTGCTGCGCTTCACTGCTGCGCCTCCCTGCTGCTCCTCCCAGCCAGCAGTCAGGTCTCGGCTAAGGCGCTGGGGTATGGGTGCCGGGTGGGGCCCAAGCAACGAGAAAGCATGCTTCAGACACCCAGGAGGGAAGCACCGGGGTGTAGGGAGGTGGCCGGCCTTGGCCAGAGCAGCTGGCCCGGGGAAGCCCCACTCCGTGGTCTTGCGAGAGCTCTGGAGTCCGGAGCCCTGGTCTTCACCCTGCGGCCCCACTGCTAAAGTGCTTTGAACTTGAGAGTCTCGTTGGTCACAGAGAGTCTTGCCCTGTCTTCATGGAAGAGTTGCAGTGACAGTGACATAAGAGAAGGGACACAGAGCACTTTGCAAACACAAATTGCTGTGCTGTGGGTGGGTGACGGAGGGACCTAGGGGCGGCCTGGGCCAGGGAGGACTCCCCCAACCGTGCAGCCCCAGTCCACTCCTCTCCCTGCCCCCCTCCACCTGGGGTAGGAGCGCTAGCCTACCCACGGCTGCCAGCTGCTCCCAGGCGCCACCCACCCCCTGCCCGAGCCTGCCCTCTGCCCCTCACTTACCAGCCTGCTAAGGTCAGCACACCGTGGCGCCAGCTGGCCGCCGGCAGGGGCATTGCTGCCTGCACCGGGAGGTCGCGTCAAGTGTCCGCTGACCTCATCCGTTGTAGATGTGGAGACTGTGGGCCGAGGGAGCTGGGACCACCCCTGCCTTGCTGGTCTCTGCAATGCAGCAGGATGAGCGAGATGACCCCGGCCCCTGCTTCCCTTGACAGCCAGAGAAGCTGGGCGACATCTGCACCTCCCTGCGCTATGTTCCCACGGCCGGGAAGCTCACCGTGTGCATCCTGGAGGCCAAGAACCTCAAGAAGATGGACGTGGGTGGCCTTTCAGGTATTGCAGAGCTTCTGGCTGCCAGTGGGTGGCACCAACGAGCCAGTCACAGCCCAGCACCCTCAGTGCATTGCCCAGGCCCAGCCACTGTCCTGCAGGGGAACATTGGGGGGCCTCCAGGAGCTGCTTCGGTCTGGCTTTCCAGCCCCCACCCACGCTTTCTCCAAAGGCCCCTTGCACCTGCCTACCTGCTCCCTTCCCTGTGCCCTGTGTGCGCTGGAAGATGGGATCAGAGAGGTCTCGCGCCCTGGATGAGTTGGTGCCTCAGGATTTTGCTGCTGGACTTGGCCCAGAGCCTGTTGTGTGTGTGACCAGAAGCCAGGACACGGGGTGTTTGGGTCGGCCTGGCCTGCAGTTCCCTGGCTGCTGCCTCTGCTGGCCCAGAGCTCCAGCTCTCACTGAGCTGCTGTGTGACCTCAACAGACCATTTCTCTTCTCCGGGCCCCACTTTCTCATCTGCAGGGTCCGGAGGGCTGGACTGGCTTGGGGTGGCAGGTGTGTGCCGGGCCTCTGGCATTGTCCGCCCACTGCGTCCAGGCAGCCCCGACGGCTCACCGAGGCCTCACTCGGGCTGCAGAATGGCCTGACGTAATTTCCCAGGCAGCCACAACTGATGCGCCAGTGGTGGTGCTGGGTGGAAGCTTTTTATCTCCCCGCTCCGATCCAGATGCTCACTCTGCTGTCTGAGGTCGGGCTTGCTGAGCGCCTGGTCCCGGCGGTGCTCTGGGGTGGGGATGACAGAGGCTGAGGTGTCTCTTGGCTGGGGTTCTCCCCACAGACCCCTACGTGAAGATCCACTTGATGCAGAACGGCAAGCGCCTCAAGAAGAAGAAGACGACGGTGAAGAAGAAGACCCTGAACCCATACTTTAACGAGTCCTTCAGCTTTGAGATCCCCTTCGAGCAGATTCAGGTGCGGGGGGGCCCCTGGAGGCTCTGGCATGGGGCGGGGGAGGGCAGCAAACATAGGTGGGGCCTACGGAGAGGTGTTCTGTGAACCTCACAGAAGCCCCTGAGGGTTGGGGGGCTCTGACTAGCGTGCAGTCCCGGGACCCCTTTCTGGGGCATCTGAGCATTCCTTTTCTGAGAGAGGAGCATAGCTATGCAGGTGGGCATGCGCACACACCTGGGATGTCAGGTCTGCTGAGGAGGTGGGTGGCCTCCCCCTTCTCCACGCACCCCTCTCTTGACCATCCTCGTCCCCTCTTCTGCTGCTCCTAGGTCCACTCCCACCCACCCCCATGGCCCCTCCGTTCCCCCATCCTCCTTGTCACCTCTCCTGCCCTCCCAACAGTGCTACAGGTGACCCTGTCTGTCACCACTCTGGGCTCGAGCAGACGGATGCCTCCCGGGCCCCTGGGCTCTCAGAACCTCCCTTGTCTCTGGGTTTCTCCCTCCCGCATCCCCACTGTCCCCCAGGAGGGTGGGATGGGGGTTGGGAGTGTGGAGAGGGCCTCAGAGCTGGCACTGTCATTCCTGATGGCCTCCAGGGAACAGCAGGCAACAGATGAGGTCCTGGGAACAGCAGGTGACAGGTGAGGCCCTGGGAACGTTGCAGACGTGAAGTGCTCGGGCCTGGGCTTCTCGAGCTCAGCGTGCCAAGAGCCAGACCTCCCCCGGCCCAACTGGCTTCGCCTTAATTCTGTTTCAACAGATCTCCCCACCCAGCCGCCAAGGCAGATGCCCCCCCCCCTTTCTCTTCTCAAACGGTCTTAGCTGAGTGTTCCCCAAGGGGTGACGCTCACCAGGTGCTAGAGAAATGTGTAGCAGGAGCGTCTTTGCTGTCAAGGAATCACAGCTGGGAGAGGGCAGGAAAGGGACCTGTGGGGCTGAAGGAGGAGGGCGAAGAGAGAGGCTGTGGGCAGTTGGGGTGGGGTTCCCAGGGCCCTGCCATGCTGGGACCAGGGCGAGCGAGGCACTGACTGTCGTCCTGAGTCTCTCCAGGCTCTTCCCCAGCCTGGCCCCGCTTCCCGAGCCCCCCATGAGGCCACCTTGCTCAGGCATCTGATATTTACCCTCCCAGACCGTCAGTGCCCCGCTGGGCTCTCCTTTCAGGCCTGGTCGTCCTCCAGTGATCTCACACCTCTGTGCCTGGTTCTCTTTCTAAAACACCCACTATGAGCCTCCTTCAGGACCCCCTGCTGCTTGCTTGGCCAAAAGACCAAACTCCTCAGCCGACCCTGTTCATTTCCTGCCTCTTCTCGCTTTATCTTAACACGCTGAGCTTGTCTCACGCAACCAGGCGTGCTCTCTGTCCGTGCCTCTGCTCTGGCTAATCCTCTCTCTCAGAATCCCCTTTTCTCTGTTCTCCGCCTGAAGAAATCCCCAGCTTTCTCCATCAGTGCTTGTGCCACCGCCTCTATGTAGCCTTTCCTGACTGCCCGGGCGGGGCCGCCCCTGTGGGTTCCCACCGCACCTCGTGCGCCTCCCTCTTTCGCATAACCTGTCACTCCCTGTCAGCTTCTCCGTATATGTCTGCTGCTCTCAGCAGAGGCATCATCCACCTGCTCACTCCCTAGTCAACCCCTAGCTCTCACCCTCTGGAGCCTCACGCCCACTCGCTCAAGGCCAATGGGTAGAAGCCATAGCTTCCAGAAGGCATAACCTGTGCCCCCCGTCCGTCTCAGTTGGAGCCAGAGATAGGAGCAAAGAGCCCCAGGGGACCTGGCCTTCCTCATCTTTGGAAGTAGAGTTTGATGAGGGGAGCAGTGCCGTTACTGGGTCCTCACCCTCACTTGCCGACTCCTTCCCTTCTTGTCCCCCACAGAAAGTCCAGGTGGTGGTCACCGTGCTGGACTATGACAAGCTGGGCAAGAACGAGGCCATTGGCAAGATCTTTGTGGGCAGCAATGCCACAGGCACAGAGCTGCGGCACTGGTCTGACATGCTGGCCAACCCGCGGAGGCCCATCGCCCAGTGGCACTCGCTCAAGCCTGAGGAGGAGGTGGACGCGCTGCTGGGCAAGAACAAGTAGGCGGGGGCGGCGGCAGGGACCTGCACCTTCACGGACACTGATGAGATCCAGAGCTATCAATACCTCAGTTACGCAACCTTAGAGGTTTTTTTTTTCCATTCGTTTGTGGTCGTGTCCTTGTTTTTCCTTCCTTTTCTCTTTTTAAAGACCAACGTCCCTCTGATGGCTGTGTGAGGAGAGTCCCCTAAAAGGTTCCAGAGAAGCCTGGCTCTTTTCATCGTCCAGAGCTGGCCTTACCGCATGCCCTGTCAAGTTTCCCTCTCAGTTTTCAGAGCTTCACCTAGCCTCACCCGGAGTGAGGCCCTCCTTTGGCAGAAAGGCGCAGCACTTCCTGTTTTTGAGTGTTCTGGACCAACAAAATGGCGGCACTTCCTGTTTCCTGACAGGAAAGGCAACACAGTGGCCACTGGTGTGTGTGTGTGTGTGTGTGTGTGTGTGCGCGTGCATGCGTGTGTGTGCATTCCTGGAATGAGCCATGGAAGTTGTGTGGGAAGAAAAGGCTCTTTGGGGATCCTAGAAGCCCACTGGCTGGGTGGAGATCTTCTGTCAGCTTGTGGAGAGCACAGAATCCTGGTCAGAGACCAGAAGCTCCCATATTCCTTGTGGGTGGCTATCTGGAAGGCAAGATGTGGAGACTGGACTTGTCCAGAACTAGGACCAAATCCCTGATGCCATCGTACACTTTCTCCTGTTTGGTTTTTCCACAAATGTGGTTTTGAGGACATTTGTGGTAATGAGCTATTTGTTACACTGGTCAGGCCCTGACAGGGATGATCAGTCCTGGGGCCTCACTCTTGTTGACAATTAATATCCAATTATGAAGAAATAAAAGTTCTATTAGCCAGAAAGCCCGAAATCAAATCCCTTGGATCTGGCCTCTTTCCAAAGCACAGTTGCTCTCCCCCTTTCCAGAATGTATGCAGTGCAGTGCGACCATCACAGTTACCACCCGCCGGGCTTTCGCTTCTGTGCTCTCCTTTAAGTGACGCAGCACTGTCTGAAGACCCGTGATTTGTACGGAGCCAGAGAACTTCAAGGGGAAGTTTCAAATGTTCCTAGTTCCCAAGAGTTTCAGGGAAGAAGGGAGTGTGGAAAGGGGGACATTGCCAACAGAGATTTCCTAACAGTGAACTAGATGGGAGTGTGGTGATCCCCCCAGCTCCCACTCCTCTGCTGTGTATTCTGGATGGCTGATGGGTTGCTGGCCTGGCCCAGGGAGACCCCATCTTACCACTCACTAGGGAGGACTCTCTCTGTGAATTCCAAGAAGCAGGGTATCCATTCACAGGGTGATGGGGGAAATACTGCCAGGGTTCCTAGCCCTTGCTCAGAAATTCCCTGTTCACCCTTTGTCTCCAGCACTGATAACAAGCCATATATATGTTAGTCACGTTTGCACTGAGCCCCTTCCAAAGCTTCGGCCTGAACAAGAGTAAACCCCTTGGCCGGAGGCTGGGCCCTCTCCCTTTGACTCCCCCCTCCCATCTTTCAGCCGCTCTTCATCTGTGGAGCCCTCAGGCCCTTGCATTTCTTCAGAATACTCACAAATACTCATGGCTTCCCCGGAAGTCTGGGATCTCTCTCTCTCTTTCTCAGCAAAAATGGCAGCACTTCCTGCCCTGCCCCACTGGGCCACCCCAGCTTCCTGTCGGCACCTGAGCCACCTGGCTGGGCTGGGGAGAATCAGGCTTTGAGAACCCTGCAAGAAGAAGGGGCAGAGTGGCTTCTTATTTTATTAAAAGAAAGGAGAGAGTTTTTTGTTCTTGTCTTGGCATTTTTGGGTTGGAGAAACAGACTGGGAGGTGGGCTCAGCTCTGCTGGCTCACAGAGACCCTCTCCCTATGCTTATGGCTCTTGGAGCATGAGAAGTTATTTTTTTACTGGACCATGTGTGTGTGTGTGTGTGTGTGTGTGTGTGTGTGTTTCCTTAATGATGAGAATGAAGGGCTTGCACGAGGACTGTGAGCTTTGGCCCTCGGGACCTGAGCCATCGTGGTAGATGGTCACAGGACAGTAGGGTGCCTTCAGGATCTGGGCGGCTGCTGAGTAGGAGACCTTGGTGTGGACGTCAGAAGCCACTGGGCTCCTCTCCATCCCCGGAGCTGTGGGATTTGGTGCTTTCTCAGGGTCTCCCCCACACCCATTCTCGCCACGTCCGACGATTCGTGTTCATAGACACGGCTCCGTCAATCTCATTGCCACCTGCCTCTTGCGCTCCGCCCTCCCATATTCTTTTTCCATAAACTTCAGCCATCCCTCCCTGAGCCTCAGTTTGCTATCCCCTGATAGGGAGAGAAGGGAAAGGCAAGCGCCTTTGGTATTTGGGTGTCTAGGGGTCTGGAGAAGGGGCTGGAATTTCCTGCTCTTGGCCCATCTCCAACAAACAGCCTTGGGGGTGAGACTGTTGTTTCTCAGCATCAGCATGGAGCCAAAGAGAGGCCTGTGCTCCATTCTAGTTGGTTCTCACTGGTCTGGGGACCCTCAGATAAGCAGTTGTTGTTTTCCGGGGTCCACAGATGAGGCAGGGGAACCCCGAGGGCCTGCATATCTTCCTTGCCTGAAGCTGGCTGTTACCCAAACCACAGAGCATCATTCCAAACCCTCACTGCCACATGGCTTTATTTCTGGGGCTGTTAGGGTGCTGGGGTACAGTCCCTGAGTAGGAAGTTAGGGTATTCTGGCTAGTGAAGGATTCTGATCACTCCCAGAACCTAATCCAGAGAGTGGGTCAGAGGTGTTTTTTTTTTTGAAAGAGGGGGTGAAATGATGGAAACCCAAACCCGATCCCACCCCAAATGGGGGTCAGTCCGGAAAGCTGTCTTCTCCTTGAATAACCATCCCCAAAAGGAAATGAACACTGCCAGGCCCATGGGCAATTTTTGGACTTTGGATGTAAGTGGAGGCTGAGGCCTGGGGGCAAACCCAGTAGTGAGCAGTGCTGGTGGGCTCTGGTCCCCCGCTGGAGGCTGGGCCCAGTCTCAGAACCTGAACTTTTTTCTCTCAGGACAGCAAATCCAGTGTGTGGTCCTGCGGAAGCACTTTGGGGTGGTTTTGCTGGCTTAGAGCTCCAGCGTGAGGAGAGTTGCAGCTGCTGTCCTTGGGTAAACCGGCTCATGTCACCTGCCCCCTGGGGCCAGGGACTGAGGGGCTCCATGTTCCCCTGAAGTCCTAGGTTAATTCTTGGTCTTACCTAACCTATGAGAGTGAGCTGGTCCCTGTGTGTGTCTCCCCTCAAGGGCAGGAAGAGGGTGAGGGCCAGGAGCTGCTCTCCTGCCTCTGCGCTCTCCTGCTCCCTCCCTGCCGGGCTGGTGGGGACCCTGCCTCAGAGCCCTGCCTGCGGCCAGACAGGGAGGGTCCCAAGAGCCTGGTGGTCCAGGGCCCTATGGCCTCCTTGCCAGGTTTGGCAAATAGAGACCCCGGACACTGTCAAATCTGAATTTCAGATAGACAACAAATTTGAAGCCGGGCCGGGGCAGTACCGGGACATCCAATACCAGACGTGATCTCTCGTGCGTCTGAAATTCAAGTTGAACTGGGGGTCTGTGTTGTGTCTGCCAGGGCTACTGGTGACCACTTCTCTCCTCGCCCCCTCAGTCCTGGGGGTGCCCAGGGACTGGTCGCCAAGGATTTTACTTAACCTGTTTTTTGAGATGCAATATTAAGAAGGGGACACTGTGACTTGAAGACACATGAATATACTTTATTTTTTAAGCGACAACAAGAACCTTCTGAAGCCATTTGAGTCTCATCTACCCTCCATGTGGTTTTAGTTAGATACAAAAGATAGTTATCTATACCCATATGAACCGAATCTTGTTGAATCAAGATGCATGTCTATAACTTTCTGTAAATAGCCGCATGGCAATGCGCTGAGTACCCCAGCCCCCCCATTTTACACAACGTGTTGAGGCTGCTCCTTCAACTTTATGTCTTGTAAAGTCTTTGTCCCTCAGCCCCACCCTGCCCCACCCATCGGCCGCCCTGGCGGGAGTCCTGGCACCTGGGGATGCTGAAGGACCCAGGACTCCAGCCCGGCCTGCCCGCCTGCCCACTTCCGTCTGCAGAGCCCACCCTCAGGGCGCCGCGCCCGGTCCAGCCTGGCGCTGGGGTCCCAGCAACTTGTGTGTCCCGTGTGTGTGTGGTGTGCCCCTTCTTCCCACTGTTTGAATTAACTGAAAAGCCATAAAGGGGGCGTCCCACGGGAGACGGCCCTCCGCTCCTCCCGGGAGCCCCCATGTCCCTCTGACTGGCTCCCCACAGAACACTTGTGAAGGGCTCACCTGTCGCCCCTCCTGCCCCTTCAGTCCTGTGTCATGGGGTTGGTGATCAGGGCTTCCAGAGTCCTCAGCTGACCCTGTCTACCTTGGCGCCCTCTGCCTGGCTTGACAGTCCAGCTCGGTCTCCAGTGGTGTGGACGGCTGTGTGGGGACTTTCTGGGGCCTGGATGGGCGCAGCCAGTCAGCAGCTCAATCTGTCACCAGGTTCACAGTAACTGCCTGGGGTGGTGAATGAATGTGTCACCTGGAGTGAGAGGCCAAGCCCACTTAAAGCTGGGCGTCCGGCTCCCTGGACGCAGTGAGGAGGGCTCTGGGGAAATGCCTCCATTTCCTCCTGCAGTCATGGCGAGAGTGGCCCAAGAGAGGGGCGGCCAAGGGCTGTCAGGCTTCTGGGAGATGCTGGTTGAGCCTGGCTGTGAAGACTCGCTCAGGGAAGGGACATTCCCACAGGCCCTCCTGTTGGATCCCAGAGCAGCCCCAGCCCAGGGTGCCCAAGGGGCAGACAAATGGGTAGAGAAGCCTGGGGGGGCCCAAGCCAGCATGCTGAGACGGTAGCTCTCAGCTTGTGGCCCTGGCCGGATGACAGCAGACCACACACAGGGGTGACCCCGGCCGAGACCGGGTGAGTGAGGAAGGAGAGACCCAGCGAGAGGAGAACCGGGCAGGGTGGCAAGGTGGGCCCACCCTTGACAATCCACTTGTGAGCACACAAATGTCCCAGGAATCTTTGTGCCAGGACCATGAAAAGTGAGGGGAAGACGGAGGAAGGCGCGCCTTGATCCCCAGCTCTCCTTGGGACCATCCCACTCACCACACCCACAGCAGGCAGAAGTGGAGGGGAGAGAGCCGACCGGTGAGGGGCAGAGCTCTGTGCGTGGTGGCCAGCGGGGTCCAGGAGGGCCCTTCCAGCGACTCCTGAACGTTGTGCCCTGGCTTCTCCCCATCTAAAGACTTGGTTTCCTGCGTTCTGAAATCCCTGGATCTGAACCCTTCGAAACCAGGGCAGGGCCAACCCCAGCCTGTCCCAGGTCACCCCTGGAATGCAGTGGCCCCACCAGGAACCCTGGTCTTGGTCTTCACAGGAAGGACTCGCGTAGAGCCCCACCCCTCCCTGCTTGGCAATGCTCCACCCCTCATGTGGACTCTGTTCTTGTCTGATCTCTTGTCAAACTGTTATTTTGTAATGAGCTGCGTCTCCTTATTAAAGAAATGAGCTGAAAGAAACCTGGGGGTGGGGGGTGTCCTAGTTGTTTGTGCTGGTCTAGGGGAGGGGCAGGCAGGGTCTCCCTCGAGGGTCAGCATGGTGGGTTAGGTGGGGAGAGGGTGTGAGGCTCTGGCCTCCAGTCTAGCCTCAGGCAGATGGCAACCAGGGCCTGAGCTGTACACCCTTCCCTGGAGGGGAAGCCAGACTGTGCCCTGGGTGTGGGATAGGGGGTGGGCACCCGTCCTGGGAGGCAGTGGTGTGGGGAGCATGATCTGGGGGGGTGGGCGTCAGGACTGGATTTCCTTACCCATGGAGCTGGGCTGCGGGATGGGCAGCCTGAGCCCAGTGATGGGGAGACTCACTTTGGGGGTGCAAGTAGGAAAAGTGAGATTTCTACCAAGTTCTCCATGGCCCCATAGCCAAGAACTTCATGACTGCCTCTTGAGGCAAAGATGTCATGGAGCAAGCATGGGCATCCTTTTTTTTTTTTTTTAATAAAGATTTATTTTATGCATACAGAACTGGGGCACAGGTCAGAGACACAGGGACAGTGAGAGGATTCACCAGAGACAGAGTGGGGAGCAGAACAGGTCAACTGACGAAGTCCACTGCTGAGGGGAGCAGCGGGTGGGTCAGGAGAGGTCTGCTGCACCATGTGGGTCAATTCCGGGACAGGGATCGAACTCATGCTGAAGTGGCTTTAGCTTCTCAGTGCAGTGCTTTAACCTACTGTGCCACCAGGGAGGGCCTGGACATCCCTTTTAAGGAACGAAAACAGGGTTGCATTGCCCCCCAGACTTAGGAAGGATAATCTCCTTCAGTTCCCGCTTGACCTATTGACCTGCCTCTTCCGGGTGAAGACAGGCAAGCTGCGCCATTTGGGAGCTGACACCAAGTGGCCAGAGATACAGGTAGGCTGGGAGCTTCTGGCCATGTTTGAGGTCAGCCCTTCTCTGGGGTGGACGTGGGTGGGAGCTTCAGAGTTTAGGTCAAACAAGACTGGGAGAACCAGGCAGAACCGGGACATCTGTCTGGTCTACTCTAGAGGCGGAGCAGGGTGGGCAGGGTACTGGGCAAGGCCGGGGCAGCACCAGGCTGGGGGCATTCCTGGCGGAGGCGCTCCCAGCTGGGCAGCTCTCTCGGTGCTGGAGCTTGTGGCTGCCAGGCCGCACACTGCCCCTGCAGCCCTCGCGGGGCCGTGGTGAGGTGCAGGCCAGACACTTGTGGGCTGGGAGTCCCAGACATCCCTCAGTCTGTTTTGGGCGCCAGGACAGGTCTGAACTCTTCAACCATGACATCATGTGTGCTTGTTCTGCTTCTACTGCTGGGCCCCAGGCAGCTGGGTGACAGCCGGGGAAAAGAATTTTCCTTCCTTGCACCCTGGCCAGGTCCGTGAGGGGACTTCCGCCTGGGAAGACCCAGGACTGAGAAGGCCACAGGCAGGACTTGCTGGAGGAGAAACCAGACCCACCCTCATTGACATAAGTTCCTCCCGGCAATGCTCCTTTGGGCACCTTTAGTCTGCAGCTGCGGGTTCTTTCGGGAGCGTGGGGTCTCCTGATGACCAATGGAGGCTGGTGTAGGTACTGGGGTGCTGGTGAGTGCCTTCAGCACCCCAGTGGCCCACAGCAGGCTGGGCCTTGCACTGACCAGCCCTCATATTCAAAGGAAGCATCATACTCCCGGCCCCCTGAGCTGGGCTTCTCCGTGTCCTGATCCTGGCAGCCCTGCTCTAGGTGATGGTCACTCCGTGGCAGTCCCTGGGGAGAGGCAGGAGAAGGCGGCCCTAGTGGCAAAGAGGATAGCCTAAGACTCCTGGGATTCTATGGCAGGCATCTCAGACGCAGTCACAAAGTTAAAACACGGTTTTATTTACTCGTTTATAAATACTGTTGTGTTTACAGGCATCATATAGATGTGGATATTATTCCCAAACTTTCAAACACAGGATACTTAACAATACTATGTAATAACAACTGGGAAAACAAAATCATTCACCTCAGGGTTGAAAGGCCACTCAAAATTGCATAAAAATACATTCAGTTCACAAAGCAAGTCTGGCTTCCCCACCCGAAACCCATCCCCCAGGTGTATGTACAAGGACCGAGTTAATCCACACAACCCCGCCGAAAAGCAGTTACGTCTGGTGCGTTCGCGGTGGTGGCGGCCGCGGGAGTGAGGGTGGAGTGAGTGAGACATGAAGCACCATCCCTACCCGGAGAGGCCTGGGGACACCAGGGTGGTTGGCTTTATTTTTAAAATTCTTTTGAGTATTTTAATTTTCTTACATCGCGGTTCATTTCTGGACAGCATTTGACCTCTCCCCTAGTTCTCCCACCACCACAGTCCCCTGTGCTCCTACCCAGTGGTTTTTATCGGCTCTTTTCAGTCCTGTCTGACCAAGGTCGAGGAAAGGAGGGAGGGAAACCAGAAAGCCAAAGCCTGAGTCTGAACACTTCCCTCAGAGAGGGACCCAAGGGAACACACCTCTGTTCTACTTCAGGGAGATGAGGGGCTGACTTGGGGTGCCAGCCAGGTGACTGGCCCATCCTTTCAAAGGTTCAAGCGATGTGGGCTAGAAGTGGGGGCATTTTAGACTGCTGCAGCCTCCCAGGGCTCTCCCCAACTCTGCCGCCTGCCACCACCAGCTCTTCTGTGCGGAGGCCTTTCCTCGGCCCTCTCCTTACCTGCCTCTTCACAGGAGGGCGAGCGTCATCACAGGTCAGAGACATGCAGGTGACCCTTGCTCGGGGGTGGTTCTCAGCTCTCTCTGGCCCCTGTCTGGCTGTTGAAGACACTGGCAGCTCTCTCCCTGCTTTCTCAGTCCCTCCAGCGAGACAGCAAAGCGCCCAGAGTTGTCCCCCACACAAGGCCACACCGAGCGGGCTTTTCCCGGGACACTGTCTCAGGCCGACGCGGGCAAAGTTCTCAGGACTCTGGTTAAAGAGACCTGGCCACCGCGGCCTCCCTGGCGGTGCTGTGGAGAGCTCACCAGACCACCGGCCTCTGGGAGCCCATTCGCCCCGCAGGGAGAGAGACAACTGGCAGAGGGGCCCGCGTGGAAGCTGCTATGGGGAGTCCTCCAGGAGTCTCAGCTGATATGTGGAAAACCTAGTCTCTAAGGCACCATCAGCTCCCAGTAAGAAGAGAGGAATAAAGAATGTGGAGGGAAATGAGAAAGGAACGGGCAAGAGTATCTCTGTTCTGGAAAGACATCAGAAACTCGTGATGTCACCGCTAAAGGCCACCCAAGGAAAAGTTTACTGGAAGCAGTAGAGAAGAATTTTGGAGGAGAAATAACAGAAAGGCTCGCTCCGGCAGACTCACAGTCCCCATGATAAACAGATGAAGGGGAGAATGGCTCAGAGAGGAGTGCTTTGGGCGGCTTCAAGGAGTGAGGGGAGTTGAGGGGAGCTAGGGAGGGGTTAACAGGCGAGTAAGCTTGGTAAAGCTGGTTAGTCAAGACGATGTCCGTCATTCTGGGCGCTCCAAGCAGCCTGGGCACACAGGCTAGAGCAGCCGCCCCGTGGTTAGGCCTTTAGGTAAGGGCTGACGTCCACTAACGGCGCGTCCTCAAACACGCTCGCTTAGTTGCTGTGCAGCCCGAGGGGCTTCCAGGACACTGGGATGCAAGTCACATCTGGGTTCAATTTTGACCCTCAACTACAATTCATGTTAGAGACGTGAATGCATCGTTCCCTACAGCTGCCGGCTGGTCAAGGGCCTCTCTCTGTTTTTTCTCAGTCCCCGGAGACCACCTCGCTCCCAGGTAGCTGGCACAGCGATAGCTCCTGGCAGCAATGAAGTTGATCTATTTTCCAATCTAATCAGAACACCAGCAATCAATAGCAGCCCCGGATAGGGTCTAGCGCTCCCAAGTAGTGTCAATACCCATTAGGGAAGCTGATTAAATCTCCGCTCTGCTGGAGGCCGAGACAGGCAACAATCACACTTCCTCGCAGCCCACAGAGCCCAGCCTCCCTGCTGCGCCATCCAGAACCCTGACCTGCCTTCTTCCCCACAGCACACAGCTACCTCGACTTCCAGGGCCTCGGCCCTCTCATTCCACACACACGTGACCTGCAGGAGTCTCGCAAGAGCCAAGTGCTGTTCTGTGCGGCCCTGGCACAGACGTGGGGCTTCTGAGTCTTCAGAGCTAAGTCCTCTGCAGGCCTGCTTTATAGGAAAGGCCATCCTGAACAGCACCGGAACCTCTTCTGACAGTCCAGAATCCAGAGGAGGAGCTCAGTGGTACTATAGGTTGAGGAAACTTCTCTGGCTGCTTTAAGACTATGAGCCAGCTGGTGCTAAGCAGAACTGCAATTAAGTCTGCTGTGTGGATGGCGAGAGCCACACGACCACATTTGAGAAGGCCCAGAAAAGGCAGTTGAAGGAACCTATGAAGCTGCAGCTCTATTTCCTATTAAAACAATTTGTCCAAAGGCCGCCTGCAACAAATTGCTTTCTATCCATTTCCCCACGAGCTCCAATTTCCACCTCTGCAGGTTTTAATATTCTTACCAAGCCATTAGGAGAGAAAGCAATTGCAACACCATTCAATTACCCTCAATATTGAATTCACTCTCCAACAAGGATGAGAAGTCAACCTTGACATGCTGATGTTAAACAGTTTGAATCCAGAAGAAAACAGAATTTTTTAAGTTAGAGCAAAAATTCAGTGTTCAAGCAATGTCCTGATTTATTCCTAGGAATAAATCACAGATTTAAATCACTTTAAGCCAGAAGGGATTTGTAAGAATGATCCAGTCCCATCTCATTTCACAGACAGGGCAGGTGACTTTCCCAAGGTCACAGAGCTCAGAAGGATAAGAGACGCTCCTGGAACCAAATGTCCTAACTTGAGGGCCTTATCCTCTCATGATGCCTTAATCTGCCATAAAAGATGCCTCGTTTACTGGGCTAGAGGGAATACACGTCCTTTGAGGGGTCAAAATCTGCCTTAAAAATCAGTAGGGGGACCAATGTCTACAGTTATAATTGGACCTAGGTCAGAGCGGGGACCCTCTGAGTCGGGGCGCAGTGCTGGCGTAAACACTGGGCCGGGTAATGGGAGGGAAAGCCCCAGGGCCCACGTGGTGTTACCTGGTTGGTCACCTCCGGCAGCTCCAGAGGCTCACCCAGGGGTGGGATTAAGAAGCCCCCTTCCTATTGGTGTAGGGTCGGAATCCTTTAGGCTTTCCCGTGGGTACAGTGTAGCCAGGGAGCCGAACCGCTCACAGCGCTTGCGTCCTCGCTCTGTGCCTCGCCTGCCCGTCTGGCCACCTCAGCCGGCCTGCCGACGACGCAGCCAGGACCTTTTCCCGGGTCAGTAGCTGACACTGGGCTAGAGAACCAGAACTGAGCCAAGTCACAAGTTTGAGGTTTCGACTACTCTCACCTCTGGCTCAATTAAAGCCCCTGATAGAGAAACAGTAGTTCACACATGGCGTTTGTGGGATTCACATGTAGCTGATTAGTGGGGCTTCAGCCTCCGTGCTTCCAGAGTAGAAGTGCTAATGAGCGTGTTCTCTTTAGGGTGAGGGAAGTGGGTGACAGGATTGAAGCAGAGGTCTGAATTCACCATTGCCAGTAGCCTCGGAGAGCAGTAAGTGCATGTTGGTCTCAAACACAGGGTGGGAGATGGAGTGGGAAACAGGGAAAACCCTGTTCATGAGTTGATCCTGCAGTTGGATAAGAGACAGACGGTGCCTAGAAATACCACGAGACTGCCCACTTGAGTTCTGTGCCCCCACTACTCCCAGGCAGGTTTGTTCTAGGGGTTCTCTAAGGGCCTGAGAGTCGCACAGCCCTGTTGCACTAGCAGTGGGGCTGGTCCTCAGGCCCAGGGCGATCCAGAAAAGGATGAGTACCCCTTGAAAGACAAACCAGCGAAGAAGACTTCAGCCAGAGAATCTCTGGAACAACCAGACCATTAGCCCCAAAGGTATGGCTTGGTTTTGGAAAATAGCAAATGAATGAGAAGAGAGGGTGTAAAGTTGAACGGAGAACCCCCACTTTGCCATTCTGGTATTTCATGTGAAGACTCTGAAATGATACCTCTGAGCCCCACATGGCTGGCCAGCCCAGCGGCTACTCATCTGGCGTGGGCTGGGTGGGGTGAGGACTGGAGGTCTGTGGTCCCTGGGAAGACCAGCAGTCTAGAGAGATCCGCCAGTTCCGTGCCGGCCCACTCGGCGGCTCATCAAGACAGCGGAGAAGAAAGAGTATTTTCTCTGGAAAGAGACCAGACTTCGGAGTCTATCTGTCTAATAAGATTAATTGCAGAAAAGGGAGTGCATGAAATCACCTCAGATGGTTTATACTTTCATGAGTTCTTGGCCATGGAACCCAGTATTCCTGAGATTGAAAAGCTTATAAATTTCCCATCACTAGGAAAACTTTCTGGCAAGTAAAGGCATATTTACCACAAAAAGGCTGTGAGAGGCAGCAGGGGTGTAACATCACTCCAAGAGCTTCAAGACCAGGTCCCGCACTTGTGAAAGGCACACACCGAGCTGAGGGAACTCTCTGGAACCCCTTTACTTGGTCTCACGAATGGGACAAGGTCAAGATGTTTTCCTAATAATCCAAATTCCTTTTTCTAAGAAAGAGGCGGCATCTTCCCCCACACCAGTCACCAGTACCCAGGATACCAAGGATGTACAGGGACAATTAGCATCTTTTGCTGCTCTCACCTCTCCCAAGGATGAAGGGGATGCTTGGGGAGGGGGTTAGAGGAGAGGGGGAAAGAGGAGATAAACTTCTTACTACACTCTTCCCAGGGCAGCCCAAAACCTAAAACAGTGATTCTCTTCTCCAGTCGCTTCTCTATGAAAATGGCTGGAAATAGAGAACTTTGTTCATTCTAAAAATGGGATTTTGCCAGAAACATTTCCTACTCTGAAGTCAGGATCTTGAATTTTAGCTTGTGATTTAAAGAGCATGTGCTCTTCCAGAAGACCGTGTAGAAAGAACTACATTGTCATTTTCTGCAACGAGAAAATGGACAGAGGTAGTTTAAGAGAAAGGAGGGCCCCAAGCACTGAATGTCATTGGGGACCCTAAAACAATGAAGATTTAAGTGACCGGCACACTCTCAGTAAGCCAAGCAAGGAGTAAGACTTCTATAAAAAGAAAATACTTTCAGAATTAATATTGGATAATCATCAAGAACTAATTAATGGTTTAATTTTGCACAGGATTAATGGAGCAGTATGTCCTGGTCTAGGCATATATTCTTAGAGTTGTTTTTGTCTCTAATATGTGATGGCAGGAAGTGTCCCATGAGAGAGGCGCTCAGAGGACTAGTGGCCAGAGCCAGCCAGACGGGGGCTGCCCCCCACTCATGTATCTGAGGCTCACAGGAAAGGGCACAACAGGACCGCGGGAGACTCACAGGCAGACCCAGCTCTGCAGGAAAATCTTTCAGGTTCTCTCAGGCTCTGAGCTGTGCAGGCCCCTGTGACACACGGCGAGAAAATGGCAACTGACCTCGTTACTCCAAGATGCCGTGACGCTCACCTCTGGGTTGAAAGTATCTCATCCCTTTCAGTCCTCTATTAAGAAGGCTTGTCTCCCGATGGCTTCTAAAAGCGAGTCTCTGTCCTGAACCTAGCTGCCGGAAATAATCAAGCCCACCGCGTTCTCCTATTACAAGGGGCTTCTGCCTTTGGCACGTGGTTGCCAGTACCCGGGTGTTTTGCTCGCACCATCTGCCACCTGCACACCTCCCCGCCCACCTCTCCTGCTCCCTGGGTGGATCAGCTTCTCACAAAGGGCAGGTGCCAGAGAGGCGGGAGGGAAACGAGCCAGAGGAGGTGCCACAGAAAGGCTGTCTGAAGCCCCAACTTCTCGATAAAGTAAGTCAGCTTGGAGGGGAAGCAAGTGGGAGATGACAATGATGGCGGACGCACTGGCGCTTCCAGCTTCCAGGGAGCTGGCGGCGGTGCTGCCCCGAGAACACGCTGGCGTCTCCAGAGTGCCCCTGGGAGAGTTTCCACAGCAGTCAGACACAGCTAAGACTGGTGCCCTGTTCTAGTTCTTGCAGCACGGAATGAAATGGGGGGAGGAAAGGATAGAAAGTTAAGGAATAAATGAGAGGCATGAGGAAAAGGGTTAAGACTAGTCGGAGATGTCACTGGGTTGTTGCTAGAACAAAGGCCACCACCAGAAGTTAGAAGAAAGTCCGTTCCTGAGAGGGGAAGACGGGCAGAGACCTTACTCGGTGCAGTCGCTGTCACCTTGGAATCAAACAACCAGCCCGAGAGGCTGTCGATTACCCCAACACCCCTGCTTCTCCTGTCGATTACCCCAACAGCTCCCTGCTTCTCCTGTCGATTACCCCAACACCCCCGTTTCTCCTGGCATTCCAGACAGGGGCCTGGAGTGGCCACCGTAAGACTCATCCGTATCAGAGGACACTGGGTCAGGGGGAAGGCTGTGGGGTTTGGGCCGAGGCCTCACATGTTTGGACCAGATCCAGTGCAGACAAGTAGCTGACCAGCAGGGAGTTGGGGGGCCACAGCTGACCCTGGTGTACTCCCGGAGGCCTTCTCCAGATGGCTCAGAATGGCTCAAATTATCACAATCATGCTTCAATTAAAACTGTCATAAAACTCAGGGGGTGGGAGCAACAGGGCACTGAGAGAGCAGAGAAAATGGACAGTGCAGATGTGGCTGGAGGAGGGGCAGAGAAGAGCCTTCCACCAAAATATCCACTTCTTGTGGCTGGAAGGCAATGGCTGGAAAAGAGGGGTGGGGGCAGCCTCAATCTGGGGCTAGTCTACTTGGAGAGTTTGCTGATGACTCGGATGAGGGCACCGTTTTCATCTTTCAGCCTCTGGTTGTCGGATTTCAGTTCTGTTAACACCTGCGGGGACAGAGAGAGGGTGTGTGAGGCACCGTCGCCTCTTCTGCCCTCCCGCCCGCAGGCAGCCGTGAGCGGGCTCCCGAGACAGCGCATGGGCACGAGCCGCCCCTTCTCCCAGGGATCTCCCCAGGCGGTCCCGAATCTTCCTACTTCCCACGTGAGTGGTGTTACTGTGTAGGAAAACCATAGCTTCTCCAACTTTTGATCTAGTGTAGTTAGCAGTAACACAATGTCTCTTTACAGGCTGCCTGTCCTGCATTCTAGATGCTTCCATTCTGCAGTCAGTAACTGCCCTCGAACTCACCTCTAGTCTAGAGAAACTGGGAAGAGGGTCACAGTGGACAAGTGAGGGCACAGAGAAGAAATTCAGAGAGGTTTGGTGGAGGCAGGGTGAACACTAATAGTTAAAGGGAGAGTTAGTGGGAGCTCGGGGTGCAGCAGAATGCAGTTCACATGAGAAAGTTTCAGGGGCCTTCTCCTGCAGCCAGTGACAGAACTGGCCCACACACTTGACGGCTGGGCTCCACCCTGCAGCCCAGAGCTTGTGGATTGAGCACCACAGAGCTGTGCAGCACAGAGACGGAGGGACTGAATTCTCCCTCCAAGCTCCATCGGTAGCTACCGTGGGACACCAGGAGACCTTATCGGCAGTTTTAGGGGATGGTGGTTAGTTCCTTCGGTGGCGAGTCATTTCTATCAGTTCTGTTCTCTCAGAACATTGCACAGTGTTGCCCAACTTGCAAAACAAAGGGAAAGAGTTGCCCCACCTCTGACACGGGTCTTTGAGTCTCCGTGTGACCAGGGGTGCTGACAGGTGTGGGAAATCCTAATGGGGTCCTGAATGGGGTAGCGTTTATAGGTGGGCCTGCTGGCAGCAAGAAAGAGGTAGGCTAGAGTGGGTTCATCCTCACCATAAAGGCTTCCTGACCATCTAGAGGGTCTTCATTTGATTAGTCAGCCAAACCCATAGAACCCCAGTAGGGGTGTTACCCCAGTAAAGGGGACCCTGGGCTCAGGTGTCAGTGAAGCCTATTCAGCTATTCAAATTCTGGCTCTGCTTTAAACTACTTAGGGGCTCTAACTGCACCTTGAATAGAGTTTTCATTTCATCCATCTCATGGAAGATGTAGGTTAAATTACACAGATAAACACGTGTATGTGTATAATTGCAGATGTGTAAAAATTTGTACCAAAGGACCTCAATGAATGCCTGTCCTGTGGGGGACGCTGCACTGAAGGCTCTCCTCGCCTTGGAGATACAGTCATCCTTCTGTTTAGAAATGACGGGGTGCCCAGCTATTAAATGGCAAAGCTACATGCCATTCTCTTCATTGTCGGGGTGGCTGGGGATGGAAAACAAGACCCCTAGAGCCCAGAAGCTGGAATTCCAGCACTATCAAATGTGATCGCTGTGGGCAAACTGCTTTGCTTCTCTGGGTTTACATTTTTGTAGCTAAAGAAGAATCCTTTCTGTGCCTCGTTCAGCAGGGGCTCAGGGGCCCCCAGAAATGACAGGGTGTTGACACTCATCATGGGTTCCTGCTGCCACTCTGAGTGCCTCCTTGTTTTTAAAATAATTCTAATCTCCATGTTTTACAAAGAAGATTTAAATCCAGAAAACATCAAAATAGCATTTCAGTCTTTTGCGCTGCCTCTCCCACCTCCAAACCAATCCCAGTGGTTCGGGCTACTCCTTCCTGCTTCTGTCCCTGCTGCCTGGAGAATCGAGTGCTTAGCAATCGCTTGAGGTAGATTTTTAGACAAGTTCACCTCCATGGCCTCACCATGCTGCCACCACCTTTCCATCTGCTCCCCAAGACGTCCACCTGGGGTGCCCCAAGAACCCCACCTGGGGCCTGCGGCCTGGGCACCAGACTCTGAAAGCTGGATGTCGGTGACAGGCGTCTGCAGGTTGGAAAAAGCTACAGATGGTAGTGAACTGCATTTCACTGCTAGCAGCTCGTGAAATCAACTGAACTGCCCTTTCAAAAAAGTACAAACAACTCATTGAGCCTTGATGATTTATTTCCACATTAAGAACTCAATTCTTTGGGAAAAAAAAAAATTGGACAGGGCAATTTCCCAGCTGCAACATGCTACAATCAACATCTTAAGGGAGTGTCAAAAGTATAAGAAGTGGAATGTAGAAATCAAGGAGGGGAAAGCCTCGTAAACTTGACTCTCATAAGAGAGGAGGAAATGAACAGTGTTATCTGATATTCACTTGGAGTTAGAGAATGATTAAATACGAACATGGGAACGCACTGGGTAAGCCTGGAGATCTAACAAAGCTTTACCACTTCAACTCTCTGGACTTCAGCTTTCTGATTTTCTAGATCTCCAGCCTAGCACAGTTTGAGGCACCGTGGCAATATAAAATGAAATACATCTTTTCTTGAGTGTGGCTTCTTACCTCTGATGAGGAATGTGGCTGGGCCAGGCTGGGCCAGTGAGGCCCACTTGGGAAGCAAGGAGACCCTGCTTACCTTTTGCTGGTAAGGGGCTTGCATTACACAATAGCTCCTCTAGGGAATTATGGGAAACAAGAACAGAACGGCAGGGTAAAACCCTTTGGGCCACCCTGGTGTCTTGGCTTAATTATCACATCTGCCCTGGTAGGGACAGGCCAGCTTTTCCTCCAAAGGGCTGGACATCAGTGTCTTGGGATTTTAAGCCACACATGGTGTCTGCTGTGGCATGAAGTGCCGGGGATGTAACGACAATATGGATGGCTTAGTTCAAGTTTAACGTCATGTTTGGTCACTGCAGTTGGACTCCATCTAATTTTCATGTCACGAAATGCTATTATTACTCTTCACTGTTTTCCCAGATATTTCCACGGCTCACAGGCCATAGTTGGTGGCTCCCCTGGCTTGCTGGGCACGTGTGCAGCAATGACTTTCTTTACAGTAGCCAAAGCTTCTGACAGTAAGTGGCACTTTAGAACTTAAACCTCACGGAGTCCCGGGAAGGCAGCTGCTGGCCTTCGGCACCTCGGCTGTGATGTCGGAACCTTGCTCAGGCCACTGTGGCACAAACAGCTACACGCTGTGCCCAGTGTGGTGACAGCTTACAGCACAGTGGTTAAGGGTGTGGACTGTGGATGCTTCTGTTTGGTTTGAATTTTGTTTCTGCCACTTCCTGCTCTCTTAAGCGACCCTGGGCAAATGACTTAATTGGGGACTCAGTTTTTTCATATGTAAAATGGTTGTTCTGGTGAATAAATGAGATAAAGTGTCTAAAACAGGGAGACCTACTAAATAACTGTTATCCTGGTTACTGACGATGCAAGCAAGCGATCTAGTTCCCCCTATATCCTGTGCCATTGCCGTCCTACATAAAGAAGGAAACTAAAAACTAGGAGAGCTTTTGTGGGTTCCTACTTCACCCCATTTCAAATTTTTTACGACTCTTGAGCCAAGGTTGATTTTAAAGCACAGAGTTTCAACCTAACAGCAGCTCTCTATGAGCAGGGCCCCGCCAGCACCTCTCCAGCTTCCTTTCTGCCTGTGATAGCATCTACAGCAGGATATTCGCTCAGCCCTATGGTAATTTGGGTGCTTCAGATCTAGTGGGTATTCATTGCCAGCTACTGACCCTGAAGGCACAAGCAAACAGGCAGAAAAAAAAGAACAGGCCTCTGGTCAGGCCTAATTAGATTGTTGCTGAAAATTAAAACCTCATTTCAGAGAGTGAATCTGCTCACAGTGGTCACCCCATCTCATAATCTGGGGATGGGAGGACAGGTTATCTGTGAGCTTGTCTTTCAGCCCCACAGCCGGAGGAGGGATCCAGCTTACCACACACATTTTTTGATTCTCGGTTGAAAATCACCCCTGCTCTCTGCTCCACTGCCTGTCATCTCCTCCTCAGAGCTGGTCCCTTAGGGAGGGCCTGTCTGTGTGTGGGTCTTGTTTATCTAGGCCCACTGCTGTCTCACAGCCCACACACGCACTGGGCGGGGGGTGAGCGGGCAGGGAGACACATCCCTAGGGCCCAGAGATTTGCGACAGGGGCGAGAGCGATACCTCTCAAGGAGGAAGTAAAGCAAAGACTCCCGTGGAGAGGAGGCAAGGAATATTTATCCAATTCTACCCAAACAGTGGGGTGGAGGATGGTGTTGCTGGTGGTGGGTCAGAGCAGCTCAGTCCACAGAGCTAGTGCTCCCATCAGCGTGTGACCAAGGGCGGGGAGTCAGGTCTGCTTGGTATCCAAAGGGCCCTGGTTTCACAAAAACAATCAACAGGGAGCTTTGCAGAAACCATTGCCGCCTGGCTCTCAACCCAGACCACTGATTATTTGGGGGTCTCCATGTTAAAATTCCCAGCTATTTTTTTTTAATACACAGCATCAGTTTCATGGCCCAACCCCTTGGTTATCCCGGGTCCAACCATAACTTGAGGTCTGGATGAACCCCAGTTTTTCCCAGGTTGCACTTGGGCAGCTATGAACGGAGCAAGCTCGATCTCAGTTTTGCAACTGACCCTCCCAAGAAACGTGTGCGGTGTACCAGCCCTGGTGCGTGCACACGCGTGTACCTCGGCCAAGGCCGCGGGAGCGAAGCCAAACTCCGTCCCTGGGGGGAGGCAATGTGATGATCTTACCAGAGAGCCCACCAGCCTGGCAGGCCCCCCAGCTCCTTCCTTGACCTAGGGTGTTAGGTCCAACGCTACAGGCCCAGTCCTGGCCCCCTCCGTGTCCAGATGACCCACCATTACAGGAGTCTGCACAGAGACGCTGATGGCGGCGGAATGTGCACAAAGCAGCAGGGACCCGCACGGAGCGTGAACCTGCCTGCAGTGGAAGAGGAGGGAAGTGAGGTGGAGAAGAGGGGCAAGAACTAGAGCTCCTGGGTGCCCGAGGACTCGATGGACTCCGAGAGTCTGGCCACAACTCGGGTCAAGGCCCTGTTCTCAGCCTGCAGCTGCTCGTTCATCTGCTTCAGGGTTTGAATCTGTTTTAGCTGGTGGAGATTCTGTAGAGAGTGAAACATGGAGGGGACAGACAGACAAGACAGAGAGAGACAAGACAGACCAGAGGAGATAAAAGTAGGACAAAGAAATCACGTGACTTTTTGTTTTTGTGTTTAGTTCGCATGCAAGAAAGGAAATGAGAAAGGCAGGAGTGATGGGTGGAGGAGATGGAGAAAGGCACCGGGGAGGGAGAGCTGTCTGTGATTCTTGGCAGAGGTCTAACTATGCTGAAGGTCGGCCACATGCACAGAACCAGGCTCCCAGAACACGCATCTGGATTGCTTTCCAGAATGACAGCCAAACCTCCGGCTTGGGGCCTCTGAGCTGAATTAACAGGGCTGGGCCATGGCCACAGGGACCCTTCATCATTGCTGGGCTATGGATGGGGATTCGGTGTGCTCCTAGGTCCAGCGGCAGCTCCTTTCTCCCTCCTCTCCTCTCCTGACTGTCCCTCCCCGCCCCCCGAACTTGGCCCGCTACTCCCACTCATTTGCTCTCTGGGTTCTTCGCTTACCTCATTTATTATTTTTAGGAAGATGAAAGAGGGGCCTGTTGTTTACGTATCTTCTGTGTAAGTCATGTACTGTGCAGAATGGTGAAGTCGCATGTACCAGCAACCTGGTCTTCTACCATGCTGTGCGCGAAGCTTCTTTACCCAGCCAGCTTTTCTCTGCACTCCGGAATTTATTCCAGGGCCCAAGAACTGCTAGCCTGCTACATGCTGACTGCGGGATCTGATGTACTGGAGTCACGGCTAACTGTGCTCTCTGTTCCAGGTAGTGAATGGGCTTGTTGCTGCTTAAAAGTGTTCGCACACAGACACATGCTCTGGAATGAACGTGATGGCTGTGCACAAGCCGGGAAGTCACGAATGTCCCCTGGTAATGGAATTGGTTGGTCCAATCTACTTGTTCCATTCTATTAGCATTGGCCATGGACTAGAATAACCAGCCCATAGAGACCCTTCCCGAAACCTCAGATCTCAAGAGGACCTAAGACTTCAACAAAGGGTTGTAGGTCTGCTTCCTCTGGGCCTCGGGCTCCCCATGTGGTCATGGGCCCCGACTGACAACATACCAGCTCTTTGGGATGAGGAGCATGATTTCATTATGGAATTGGCGCTTCAGAGGTGAAGCTGGAAAATCTTCTGGGTAACAGAAACTACGAAAAAGGCCTCCAGGTACCAGAGAAAAGTCTCTCATACCCACATGGCATGAGGATAGAGATGAAAGTGGAGTTAGTGGAGTTATAGTTGTTTGGGAGTGAAGAGGCAAGAAAATGAAGGGTAGCGTGACGGGGGGAGACAGTGAAAAGGAAAAACAAGCGGAGACAAACTGCAGAGTATCTCTTGCCCCAAAGAGGGAGAATGACCACCTTGGAAAAAGGAAAGTGGCCTCAAGCTCCAGGTGGCCCTGAGGGGGGCCGGGCCATCCTCTTTAGCACTGCACAGCTTGGCCAGGAAAGGAGATGAGGGAGGTCCCGGGGCAGCCTAGGAGAGGGTTATAGAGACGGGAAGGGACCACACTGAGGAACCGGAAGGAGTCCCTGGCTCTCGTCCTTCTTTGGTGTTGATATTGGGTCAAAGCTTTCAGCACAATCTGTCATTGCATGAGTGGACTTGCTGCCTAGGGAAGAATCTTAAAGACATCGACTTTAAAAATGTCTCATCTAATGTGTGAGCATTAGCAGATCGAGGTGGGACAATTTGGAAGTGATCAGTATGAGGAAGAGAGGCATAAAACAATCTGGTGGAATGTTCTACAGAAAGCAGCACTGAAAACAAGGGATGGCAAGGAGCTGGAGGAGGGCAGGGCACAGAGCAGGGGATTGGCTCCTGGGCCCGTCTCATGCAAGCACCGGGCTAGGACGGGGAGAAAGGTGCTGATGCTGGGGGGGGAGGGGGGGATGCGGCAGAAACGGCACCAGGCCTGATGTAGGCACACCCAAGGCCAAGGGCAGGCAGGCACAGCTCACGTGGCCATGCACCCCTGTAAGAGGCGCTCATGTAAGCTTACGCTCACCCAGCAGGGAGTGAAGCTTCTCCTGGGGAGAATTTATATACTTACCTTTCCAAAAGGTCAGAAAGACACACACCATGTCACACCCACAGAGCCCCGGGTGTCTACGCCCATCTCTTGGTTCCCATTTCACCTGGTCTTTGTACTTTGTTATTATTTTTTGGCCAGTAAAACAGGCACTGAAGTCACTTTCTGTTGTTGGGCACCAATGGGGTATTCGGGGTTCATTAGGTAAACCCTGGTCTGCTCCCTACTGATTCCTCCAAGAAGGTTTGTGCTTTTATACAAGAATATGTTACAAGCACGGGGCCCTCAGCTCTCCTGGGTCCCAGGTTAGACAAGACGGTCAGTTGCCTGTGTCACTGACTGGTCACCTAGAACACAGAGCTCTTGGACACTGACCACTATGAAGCTGTGAGAACCGTAAACTTTCATCTAGATGAAGAGCTCAACTATTTTCTCAGATTCCCTTTGGGCCAATCACCCCAATTTTATAATGTTTGTATTGTATGTCTGAAGCTTTTGTCTTCACTGTAGGGTTGGTGTTGGCTGGGGGTTCTGAGGTGCCTCCCTCTTAGTCCTCTAGGGGGAGATAGAGGAGTTGCAAACCTTGGGCTGGCCAACCTAGGCTTTCATTTGAGCAAAAGGTGTCCAGGGGGCTTTCGGGTTGACAGGAATTTCTTCTCCATTTGGCTGTGTTTCACAATGGCAAATAATGGCAACTGACTGAAGGGCCAGGATTTTCAATAACAACAAAAGTCCATTTCAAATTATCATACCTCTCTGTTTGGGGCTGAACCACCTGCTAAGTTAAATGGTGAATTTGAAGTTGCTTGGCAAGTGACTTAGGACTGGGGAGAGCAAACACTTTCCTATATCATAGTCTCTACAGAGGGGAGAGAAGAACTCAGGACCCAGTTTAAAGCTTGGAAATCAGAGTCTGTTAGGGTAAGAAAGCCGTGAGATTGTAGACCTGTCTCAATGTACAGCTTGAGAGCAACAGACCCACAGCTGCTAGATTAGAACTGGAATAGAAATAAGGGGGGTTCACAGTCGCTCCACTTTTGGGCACCTTCTGCCTTTGTACACGTGACACAGATTCCATGGCTGCTGGCGATGGGGTGGGTGGCTTTGGGCTCCTAGGTCCTCACTAGAAGGACCGGCTCTGGAGTCATTAGAAGGACCAGTTCTGGCCTCATTTACATGCTCCTGTTAGCCTTCAGGCCATTTCTTAACAAGCATCTCTGGCAGCTGCCTAACAGCAGAATACAGATGGTATAACTCAAGGGGTTTCCTAAATGAAGGAGCCCCCCATGCAACAAGAGCCGTGGCTAGTCATTCATCAAGAACTCTTTAGCTTTACTAACATGCTGCTCTACATGGGAGAGAAAACTGGGTGGTTGCTGTTAAGGGGGGTTTGATGGAGAAACTAATGATGTTAGGTCAGACTGTTTCCATTAGGAGAATCGACCATTAATAAGCTCTACTTCTTGCTGTTCTGAATCAACTTGAAATATATAATGTTTGAGATATTAGTTACTGCTTAAAACTGTAGGCTCAGGTACAGGCTTGGGATGGTGAGTGGGGAATGGAAGGGGAGGACTTGGCATTTCTCCTTCATTCTGGAATGATAAAATGTTACAGGATTATGGGGACTGGGTCTTATATAAACTTTGACCCTGTCAGGTCCTGGAACTTTTCTTTTCCTCAGTAAATAACTAACCATTTTAGGCAATTGGAATGACAGGTTTCCCCAAGTGCTCCAACTGTACATGGGGGGCTCACAGAGAGAGACCTGAGGGTCTGCTCACACTTCCCAGGGGTCCTGGTTCCTAGGTTAAGGAGCATCCATGAGTGCTTTGTATCATGCGCTAGTAAAATAAGATCCTTGAGGAGGGAGGAAACCTAAGAGACAGCGAAGCACGAGTGTGGGCCTGTGGCACTGTGCCCTGCAGGTCGGACACTGCAGCCATATCCAGGCGCTCCCTGAGGAGGCCCTTGTCCCCTCCACAGCAGAAAATAGACTCTCTAGGCGGGCGTCAGTGCTTAGCACTTGAAATTGCCCGGGAGGTGGCTGCCCACTAGTGTGCTGATGGAGGTGACCGTCATAGGCGGTTGCAGGAAAGGAGCCATGTAGTGCAAATGGGGCCTGAGGGTAGCCCAGAGGGAGAGCCAGCCTGGGTCACTGAGTATTTCAGGGGCGCTGGACTGGGGCAGGAAGTTCAGATGTGAACAAATCTTTATTCTGCAAAATGACTTCCACTGTGTTCTTATCAGCAAGGGCTAGGATAGGGAGAGCCCCTGGGAGTGTCTCTGGCCACGCTGCTTCCCCCGGGTCCCGGCTGTAAAGTCCATGACTACGGAAGATGTTTTAGCCTTTTCATCCATCCCTTCGAGGATGAGGCAATTGCTTAGAAAACCATAGCATTTCCATTTCAGATTCAACTCAGTTATCCTCTTAAACCAAAGGCAGCATTTATTCCTAAAGGGCTTTGGGTTGATGAACTGGGGGTGCCTCATCTCTTCTTGAGGACACTGCATATGCAGTGAGACGTGGGGGGGCAGACTGCTCACCCCCACCTGGCAGGCACTGGGAGGGCAGGCACACACAGAGAAAGGGAATCTTTCCATACCTTCATCTCTTCCTCCATCTCTGACATTTTCCGCTCCAGAGCGCGCCGCTCCTGTTTAAGAACAAGAAGACTGCTGAACACCCCGTGGGCTTAACAGGGGAGTCAGGGCTGCAGCCCAGCTTCCCGGAGACCAGCAGCTTCCCGACTCACACGAGCCCTTCCCAGGAGACGTGAGTGTTCTGGTTTGCTGCTGCCACTTGTGGGGTAGATAAGAGCCGTGATCTAAGTCTCCTATCAGACAGTCCGAAGATACCATGTGCAACGTGCAATGGGCAAACGAAATAAGACCAGGGCACTCTGAGCTACTCTGTGAGGTTGAAGATTTCATGGGATTTGAAATGATTGCAAGTGGCCAGGACAGCTGCTCTCTGTCACTACAAAGGGCATCATTATCTTCAGTCACAGCCCCCCACATTTCTAGGAGCCGCTTCACTCATGCTGGGAGTAGGTGGTGGGTAGGGGAGTAGCCATCACTGTCCTGCCCCACCTGTCCCTTTCTCTCTCCAACAAACAAGTCCTGATTTGGCCTGAACCCAGTAAAGATTCCTTGATTAAGTGAGATACCAAGGAGGTCCTGTGACAGGTCAAGGGGAATAAAATACAGAACGTAGCTGTTCTCCAAACCAAACAGATAATAACAGGAGAAATGGGAACACATCCTTAGGGCCAAATCAAAGCTGGGGTTCATGGGAGCGCTCCACTCCAAGACTGTCAAGTCCCACGAAACTATTCTGAACTCAGTCGGGAGGGCAGCCGTGGAACCAGAAACCCTGCCCTCAGCCAGAGGGAGGCTGCCAGCTGGGATTTCAAGTCATCAGACCTAAGCCAGTGGCAGAGGGTCCTGCTGCTGAAGCTTCTCTGCCCCAAGTGATGGGAAGGGTAAAGAGACCTTGCACGTGGAGGGTGTGCGATGATCCTCAGTATACCACAAGGCAGTGCGAGTGTGCGTGTCTGCGTGTGTGTGTGTACCGTGGCCTGCAGGCAGAACAAATAGGATAGGGGCGGGCCCTCCCGCCTGACACTAAATGCTAAAAAGTACAGCCCACTTGAGGAAGCCAAAGGACTGGCCATCGAAATGCTGCCCAGGGTCAGGCAAAAAGAATTTCTGGTCAAGCTCGGAGAGGAATGCGGCAGAACTCCCCCTTCCCAAGATGAACTTTTTCCGCTGGCACAGACAACAAAGTTAGAGAGGCCCAGAAAGAGCTGAACAGAGGGAAAGAGCCGCATGCCTACCCGCTTCTCCAGCTCCAGCATTGATGAGCGGTCAGAGGTCTTCTCTTGCTTCTGCTCGTGCAAATGAAAGGAAAACAGTTGTTACTTAAGTCATCTCCGGGCCAGGAGGGTCCAGCCCGAGCAGCACGACAGCAGGTGTCCAGAAGCAGACACGAGGGCTGTGGGCTGTCTCGGCAGCAGGTGCCCTTGGCAGTAGCTTCTGGTAGCTTTCTAAGCCTAACATTATCACCTCTTTGGGTTTATAGGATTCCCACTGGGGAGGGTGGTAACGTTCCCTGGAATTAGAAACAGTCACAAGTACCACCACACCCCTTAGAACACACGTGCAAACACGCGCCCGGCCTGGGGCCAGCTCCCTGACACCTCGTGCCCAACGCCCTTTTTTGGGGTGAACGCGTCGCAGCCTAGAGGACGTCAAGTGCGGCTGGCGTACTCAGAAGGCCAGGGCCTCATGAGCAAGCCCTCTCTCCACTCATGCTGGGGCTCGGGCCGCTGGTGTTCATGAGCAGGCAGGCCTGCAGGGTTCTCAGAGCCCATTCATAGGAGTGACCTGAGAGGAACACAAAAGTCCCACCTTTACCTGTCTAATACACCGGACTTCCAGTTGAGCTTTCACTGGAATAAAATCTTGATTTTAGATTATCCTTGACTTTCAATATAAATGTTGCACAGGGTCTAGAAACATCAGCCACCACAGCCCAAAAGTAGGATAACTTCAGATAATGACTCTTTAAACAGGCCTAGAAATAAATCCTTTAGCATTACAGCAGCAAAATTACTATTTCCAGCTCCAGCCCTGGGCTTTGACATCCTGATCTGAAGGTCATGGCCATCTGCCTTTATACTGCATCTGCTGTGATGCAAAAGGAAAAGGCAGTAGCCCTGTGGCTGGTTCACACCCTCGTCTTTTCTAAGCCTGAGAAATGTGAACGCTGTGATGACTTCACTGGTTTCATTTATGCAAAGTGAACTTAAAAAGATCACGCATGCAAAGAACCAGCTAAATTAGAGGACACGCTTAGCCCCCTTAGAGAGGGGATGGATCTCCTGTGAAAACGTTATGTATTTTGTTGTGTGTCTATGCAGTTAATGTCTCCACATAAATGTGAGGCCGACGGGCCTGCCTCCCTCCACTGGCCTCCCAAACAACTCCATTTTTGGTAAATATCAGAGACCACTATTTCTTCTGAGTTTTAATAACTCGTATTTGGCCAAGCAGTATATTCGACACACCCGGCAAAGCAGTTGGCTCAGTGAGGGGAAAGGCTGCTTGTTTCCAATGCCCTTTTGCGCAAGTCAGTGTCAGCAGTTTGGGAGAAAAGCTTGGGCTGGTGGAAAAGCCGAGAACCCCTAATGGTCAAGAGACACAGTTAAAAGCCTCTGCTGAGGAGAGAGTGGGGAACAGGTGAACCTCACATCACTGATCGCAACTTTTCTATAAAATAGCCCCCATAACACCCGATGAGAGCCAGCTGAAGATCTGTTATTTGTTAACACTGCCAACTCACGGCACTATTCGGGACAAACATTAGCCTCAGAGCGCTTTTGAGGGTCTACTGTGACCCAGACATTTTACCTGGCTCAGTATTCAGGGGTTGACAGAGGTTTATTTAGCCCACCCTCCTCCTTCTGGCAGGATTGTATCTAAGTGTGCGCATATTTTTCTTTTCAGTTAAGACAACCCCTCTTCTTGGTTCACTTTAAGCCCAACTGTCATCTGGTTGTAGCCGGTCTTAGCAATCCCCAGTGCAAGAGCCATGCTCGGCATTTTTACTGAGCAGGAGGGGTGCCTCTTCCAAACTGACCGGAAGCTCCCAGGACAGGCCATCTGTTTCGTGCCTGAGCAAACCCTTCTCTGGAAAGTCTGGGTGTCCTGGCTGTCCTGCCGGGGTTGTGCCCTGGTCTGTATGGCTATTTTCCAACTGTGGGGAACCCCTTGCTCATTTCAGGCCAGAGAAGTTACGACAAGATGTTCAGAGGGTACTTAACTCCACGGACCCCCACCCCTCACACACTCAGCGACCTTCAATCCTAGCATTTCAGTCCCGTGCTCTTGGATTCTATTGCATGTATGGGTGGAATTGCCAGCCACCTCTGGTTTTCATTTATGTCCTCCCAGTAAAGAATCATTTTTACCTCAGTTCAGCTTTTTAAATTCTTATTCCCCAGGCACTCTGGGAAAGCAATAACTCAATAGACTTTCTGTTAACTCAGCAATAACTTTAGACAGCACTTGCTTTAGTTTTTCAGCTGCAGGGTGCGTTTCACTGGGATGAGGTTATTACTACCTCCAGCTCCTGCTAAAGTGTCACCTAATTAAATCAGGCCTGGCAGGACGAGGAACTGCATGATCTGGTCTTTCTGTTGCTAATGTTCCTCACTCCTAGGCTGAAAGACACTGGAGACTCAGGGAGGTCACATATGCTACAGAAGATCTTAGCTTCAGGGGCTCTCCCTGGTGACGCAGCACTGTAAGCTGGCCACAGCTGCTTTAGTGTGAGTTCGATTACCAGCCCTGGAGGTGATCCAGATGGTGCGGCAGACCTCTCCTGACCTGTCCGCCGCTCCCCTCAGCAGTGTACTTCATTGATCTGCCTGCTTTGCTCCCCACTCTGTCTCTGGTGAAGCCTCCCACCGCCCCTGCACCTCTGGCCTGTACCCCAGCTCTGTATGCAGAAATAAATCAGTCTTTAGCTTTGGGACTCAATCCTGTGTTCAAACAATACCTTTGTCCTTGATTTATTACATGATCAAATCGTACCACTTATTTCTATAGGCCTAACTTGCTGCCTCTCTGTACTAGGTTTGAGAGGATCTTGCTTATCCTTTGCTAAGGGTGATGTGTAGATAAACCAAACTGAGACGTGATGACTAAGACAAGAAACACCATCTTGGATACGCTGGTTTACACTTTTCTACTAACATAAAAAGCAGGTAATCTACACACTAGCATTCAGTCCATCAGAAATTGTTCACTGAACTATTTTAAAATTTCAACCAAATGCTGACTAAACTCTAGAATAAAATTAGAATCTATGAGACTTCTTAGCACCCTGTCTCTCAGAAGGGCCAGTCCTGATTCGCACTTCCCGCCCCCCAGATCCCTGGTTTACTTGTTCCCTCGTGTCCTCCCGTGCCCCATCATTTTCCTTCTTCCTCCTTACCTGGGCCATCTTTTCAAGCTTGGATTTTACATCTGCTAGCTCTAGCTGGGCTTCCTGAAGTTTGGTTTTCAGCTTTTGGTTTTCAGTCAGGGCACTCTCGTAGAGCTGGGGCAGGGGAAAGAGAATTAGGTCACCTACTGGGCAGGGCTCCCAGGATCACCCACACAATCCCATCATGTGAGGATGCCCAGGCTCATCCCCAAACCCTCACTGGAGGGTAGCTGGGGAAGAAGGAGTCTCAGAAACAGGGCAGTTCAGTCAATTGGTCCCTTGTACTTTAAATTAACGAAGTCCCATGTGCTGAGCCCACAGAGAACGATGCTCCATCTCAGTAACGGTAATCCATTAACACAGTCATTCCATTTTCTCCCGCAGGTATTTGCAATGCTTAAAAACTATGGCTCCCCACACAAGAGAGAATTCTCTCTTTAGAATCAGCCTAGCTTATATATTGATTTTAGTCAAGTTCTACTTAACAAAACATTTTCTTCACAAAAGTGTTTTTTTCCTGGCCTCTCAGGCATTTAAAAGGGAATGTTTCAAGCCCGCCCTTGGAGCTGGGCACTCTTCTGTAAGAACTAAAGGCAACGAACTTTAAACTTTATTTAAACCTCCTCCAAACCCAGACTGTTGTTATTATTTACTGTCACCAAGAAGTATGGAGTTGATATTCATGGGGCTTCATTAGAAGCATAGATCTGTTAAACATACCAGTTTTCCCAAAGACTCTCTGGGCTCAGACAGATAATTCTAAACGCTTACTTTTATCTCTAAATATCTGACTCTAGGCATATACTTACTGTACAAAAACCAATATATGAATGAGGCTTCATTTAGATGGTAGAAGAGTGGTGGCAAATTCTGAAAAGAATTTGTTGTCACCATTTATCACATAACTGTCTTTTCTTCTGCTTCCCCAGGCATTACACTCATTTTTCTGTCCTAGGGAAAGGGTTCAAAGGTTTATGTGCTGTAACCCAAGAACAGGAAACTGAAAAGAGACCCTACTTTTTTATAATCCCTGTTGCTGTCCTCTTCTACCCGGCTGGATAGGCTGGCGAGACGGGCCTCCCGGGCCTCCCGGCGCGCTCTGGCTGAGGCCCGCTCACTGTAGGAATCGCTGGTTGCAGAGTTACTGCCTCCTGATTCCAACCTGTGGGCATAAATTAAGAGTAAAATTTGAGAACAAAGAAGAGATGGAACGTTGAGTTTAAGAGTGGTTTGCTCCTTTCCTACGCAGCACTCGAGTGCTCTGGCCTGAGACAGCGCCAGTGTCCCTGCAGCTCCCTCAGCAGCGTCCCAGGCCTTTGGGCTGAGCTGTGCCAGCCTTGAGAAGGGCTTGTTACTTGCCAAGAATGAAGACGACTTGAAAAGTCGGGGGTTTGGACCCACGCGCTGACTTAAATCTTAAAGCTTTTCAAATTAGTTTAGGGTTGAAGAGTTTCCCTTATGAGCATGCTTTCAAAAGCAAGTATTTCTTGGATCTCAGTGGCTCTTGGAAAATGATTCCAATGAACTGTCAATGAATCAGAAACATATGGACTTGGAGAGCTGAGCTGGAGAATGAATGGGGGTTGGGGGGGAGCAATGAGGACAAAGCATATTTGCTCTTCAGGTACACTGCAGGTTTGGGGAAACACAGACATTTCAGGGGTACCACCACCGTGCCAAAACACTTTCTTTTCTACCCTTTTATTTAGATTCCATTCAATACCTCAAGACTAATATGCCTACGATTAAATTCCTCTATATTTCAGCAAGTGAGTTCTTAGAGCTGATGGTGGTCTCATTTCCAGTGGGAACTGCCGTCCATGTGATGACCTGCTGAAGAGTACAGCTGTCATTCAGGCCCTTAGTATTGGTTTAAACTTTTCACTTTGCTCTTTCCCAACTAAAACGTAGCACGTTGAGACTGCTCTGTATGAACCAGACCCGAGCTGAGATGGTTTGAAGAATCCCAGCTGTGGACCTTCCATCTGATGCCTCTGCCCTGTGGTGACTGTGGCCAAGGCTGGGGCTTCTCACTTACATGTGAGAAGAGTTAATGAAGCAACAGGGTGTTGCACGACAAGAGAGACACTAGTAGATACGTTGTTCTTAAATGCCAAGTCCTTAACATTCTTTTAAAAGAATTACAAATGGAAGTATCATTATTAACTTTCCCAATTACAGAAGCAATGCATATTTGTAGAGAAATTTAAATAATGCCAAAGTGTTTAAAATAGACAGTGAAATTCACCCTTTACTCCTGTTCCCTCAAAATAACAGTTTGGTTATATCCTAGCTGGATGTTAAACACAAACATGTGAAAATATTTCTGTAAATAAAATAATACATACTGTTGTCTAAGTCCTACACTGTAACACTATGATCGTGGGTACCTTACCATGTGAATAAAAATGGATTTCTCACTCTTTTCTCTCTCTCTCTCTCTTTAAATGACTGAATTCTCTTGCACTGTACCGCTGTTAGAACAACTTAACCTTCCCTTTGACAGACACATTTGAATTTTCTAGCTTCTGTAAATGATGCTACAATGCAATTTCTTAGGACAAAACCTGAGAAGTAGAACTGTTTAGGCAGGGAGTAGAAACTTTCCTCCAGGAAGGTTAATCCTTTTTAATCCAATAGGACACATGTAAGATTTCCCTGTCATTAATTTTAATGTTTTAAAGTTAGGTAGTTCCGAATCTTTGGTTATTTAGCTATGTTTCTGAATTGTCCATGCATAGCATTTGTTAATCTTTCTTGTTATATCAGAGAAGGCGCCCATATAGTGGGCTCTTTAAAATTAGCATAGGTTACAGGTTCTCTCCCCCGCCCCTATTTCTTGATACCGTTTATAGCATCTTTTACTAGCAGAGATTTATATTATCAGTTTTTACCTTTATGGCATATTACTTGGGGAGAGCTTTCTTATATAAAGATTATAAGTATTCTACTACTTTGTCATATGATATATTTCTTTTAAAAACTGTAATCTATCCCAAATCTGTTTTTTGTTGCTCTGCTTTCTGGTATGGCTTAGACTCTATTTTCCCTAATAGTTAATTGCCCCAAAGAGCACTTATGGAAGAACAACAGGGCTATTGAAAGGTCACCTTCCACAAAAGATATTGTGGTTCTTATCCATTGTGTCTCCATCAATCTTTTGATTTATCTTGCAATAGTACCCCACAGTTTTAATAACTACAATTTTATAGCATATTCTGAAGCCTTTAGGGAAAGTCTTCTTTTACCAGTTGGCCATTAATAATGTAATAGACTTCACCAAAAATCAACTACAGCAAAAATACCATTCTACCCCTTTTGCAAAGCTAATTTTTTTGTTAGGCTAGTCGTAAATGAATGCTCTTCGACTGGTGCTTGGTGGCAGTGTGAGCCCAAGAAGACACATGCATACTTGTAAACTGTAAAATATATTAACATAGAACGATTTCAATTACCACACAAACTATGAGACATTTGCCCTACGCTATCCCGGAACTACACCTTCCCCCAATTTCCTCTTAACTTTTCCGTCAGAGGAATAGTGATGAGAGATGAGAAATTTTGGCTCCACAGTGTCTCCTATTTTTATTTTGTTTTCAGGAAGATCAATTAGTTTTGTAGTCTTGTATGCTAGTGAAAAATTACAGAGGATCATTCCCCAGACTGATGATATGGCTTGAATTTTTCAGCAATTGCAAAATAGGTCTTTAGTTCATTGACTTTAGTTCTTATTAATGAGCACTACTCTAGACTCTAGATATAAGGGGTAGTGTAGGATCCACTATCAATATCTAAACTGAGTCTCAGGCATCTTCTCTGCACTGAAGTTTGCCAGAAGCATCAGATTAGGTTGGCTGCCTCTTGCCTCTGCTCAAATGACCAACCCACATTTCTCTCTTGGCGCTTATTATTATTACATCTTATTCAAGTCAGTTGTCTCATTTGGCATTCATGAACTAAGAGCCTTATTCATATTGTTTCCCCTAGATCACACCCAGGGCCTGGCACACTAGTGCTTTAGAAAATTAACGTAGTGTTCATATAAAAAATGAGGTGCAAAATGGAGACTCTACAAGCGGGAAGTGAAGCTGGAAAGTTACTGTGTTACTTTAGGCAGGAGATCAATCTGAATTATTGTGGTGGGTGGAAATGAAAATGGAGGAACGGTGTGAGAAATACTCCTAAACCAGACCAAGTTTAACTAGACATGCATTTACTCACGAGTACCAAGCATGCATATAACACAGGGGAGCGTTCTTACCTAGAAAGTCTTTCATGCTAGAGAAAGGAGGAGACAAAAACAAAAACAAAAAACAGCATTAGTAAGGGATTGATTTTTACTATTTCCATTTATAAACACTTTTTAAAAATCAGATGTCTCTAGTTAATTAACAGAGGCGGGCAAATTAAGAAAAGCATTGCAATTGGACCAAGGCTGCTTAGCTCTAGTTCATACTTCTCTGCATTCCATGATTCGCCAGGCTGGAGAGCATCTTTTTAAACTGGAAGTCAGCAAAATATAAACGATAAAAGTTTCTGTGCCCCTTGCCCCCCCTTTTCCTGGTGCCCTAGAAGTGAGTGCCATTTTTGTGACATTCAGCCTCACTGGCCCTCAATATTCATTCTATTAATTTTCTTCAGTCCACAAACCACCAACTCCACCCTTTGCGAACAATGCAATTCACAAATATTAAAACTCATAGCTTCGCTGGAAAAGATCATGCTTAGTGAGATAAGCCAGAAAGAGAAAGAAAAATACCGGATGGTTTCACTCATAGCAGGAGTATAATGGACCAGGTGAG